AGCTAACAGATTTTTGGTCCTATGTTGCAGCAGATAATTTATTTATTTTAGTTAGTCTTGTTATATAAAAAAAATGTGTATTAAAAAGTTATTTATGCATTACAAATGGCAATTTTGTATCTAGGTTGATGAAATAATTTAAACTGAAAGTACAGCTTTTAAACTATATGATCAGTTAACCTGTACAGCAGTTTCTAATACCAATTCTCAGCAAGATAGAATATTGACTTAACTATATAAATCTCTCTCTTTTTTTAAACAATTAAAATATCTCAAGAAATCATTGAAAAACTGTATTAAAATTACAACATACGCATCGATTAATTTGACATTTTTATTCAATGGTCCCTATTGTTGGTCACCATTAGATTTACTTTGAAGTACTAAAATACTCTCCAGCAGAGGGCAGCAAAGGTCCATTTCTTTACTGCTGCAGAAGGAGTCTGCTGGTCCTTCTGCGACAAAAGGCGTTTCAGAATGAAGATTTCCGCGCTCCACATAAGCAAGTCCTAACTGCCTTGTGGGAAGTGAGTCCATACGGGTGACATGCGAGTCACTTTAACAGGCATAAGAACTACAATTCCCGAGAAGCCTTGCAAAGAGGTGTGGGGTGGGTGGACTCTTTTCCAGCTGATTGCGTGGGTGACGTCTCATTTTGGTAAGTTGTCAACAAGCTAACGGAAATGTCGGAAAGAGAGAATCGTCGATTTCAAAATAAAGCAAAGATGTTTTTTTTTTTAAAAAGTTAAAAAAAAAAATTAAATACATAGACTTTGGCTCTCAGCAATATGTGGGACAAAATTTTATAAATTTGATTTTGCTGCTTTTGAAAGAAGATAATCACTGATGTAGCTGAAAGGAAAAACATCCATCAATACATCCACATTTTTCTGGATGGATTGATGGATGAATGAAACTGAAATTGTTTGCATACTAGGGAGGCCTGATGTGTTACTGTTGGCATCGGAATCGGCTTTTATTCATTCTTTTTTATATACATTAATGTCTAACCACCTATAAATATCAGTGTATTTTGGTTATTTTGTGTTCTCAACAATAGGAAAGCATTCAATAAATATATGTTTGAGCTCATTTTTGGAAAATACAAACCCTATTGAAAGCGTTTGTGTGGAGTAACTGTAGGTCGATCAGCCGCCATCCTTAGATTGTCCCCACCAACTTTCATTACAAAGTTACAACCTTGCATGAGAGACACTTTCTTCTTTTGTGTACTCCAGGCTTATTGGTTAAATTTTATTTTCCATCAGCTGAGTCTACTGTGCCATTTGGAGGTTGAGTGATAATACAGTGATAACTGTACTGTAGTTTCACCTATACTACATACTGTAACTATCCATCTATCCAATTTCCCTCATGTTTAATCCCAGTTGGGGTCGCAAGGGGTTACTATAACTATTGATTTTTACATTTTTATAACTAAAATATTTGAAATCAGTTGTATTGATAATTGGTAGTAAATAGTAGTCAGTTACTAGTAGCCTATTTACTTTTTAGTTACTCTTACTTGAGTAACTTCTTCAAAGGCTACTTTTACTTGAGTAAAAATATATTAAGTAGTGCTCATTTCACATAAGTAAAATTTGTGGTACTCTGCCCAGCTCTGGATTTTGGTTTTAATATTGACAGTTCAATGAGTTTTGAAAAAAAAGAAAAGAAAAAGAAGCTAAAACTGAAGTTGTGCTCTTATTTTAGAATAAGTATTTTGAGGCCAGGAGGTGTTTTCTTGCCACCACTTTTGCACCATTTGAGGATATGAATTCATAATATTAAATGTAGCTAATATTTGCACTGATCCGTCTATTCTGCTGTCTGAGTGGATTCATTTGCAGGACTTGAAGCTGAAGGAGATGGTCTCTGTCAGAGGTCACGGATTAGCTACTCCAGACCCAACCTGATTTAAAACATTTATAAACTGCATATTGTTTTTCATGTTGTCCAAGCCATGAAAAATGAAAGAAAAAAACTAATAAAAAATGGTCAGTTATCTTATATAAAATATGTGAATCAGGAAATTGTCTGTAAACCAAACTCAACAATTGCTGTTCTCTACACTTTAGATTTTAAAATGGAAACAATTTATTTATTATTACTATTATACTATTTATCTATTTTTTATTTAACAATTCAATGTATAACATGGATGCATAAAAACCCTCATTGTATTCCAGTGTTAAATTCTGTTTAAAGTTAAAGAT